ACAGGAACAATTTAATTAGTATTGTGAGTGAATGTTTTCAAACTTTGTTGGACACATTTTTACGTTTTTTAAATGTTTGGTTTCAATTTAAAGCTGATAAACTTACACTGAGTAAGTTTACATTTTGTGGAGTGTTGAGAATTGGCATTCATTTTGGAAATCGAACATATTTCCTGGATTTGCTTTGCTACTTGAAAGCAAAGTTTTAAACCCTAAGATTTCAGGGAATACATGTTTCTACAAGCTTAATAATAGCTGGCAGTCATTTTTAGCACAGTTTTTTAGTATATTGAGTGTAATACTAAGAAAAGAGAAATTTAAAGTGATAGGTTTAAACCTAGAATAAAACTGAAGCTCTTTAAGAAAGGTTCAGCAGGTACACTATACTAAACTGAATCTGTGAACTTCAGTGTTTGGAGGCTAAAAGGATGAAAACTACTGACAGTGTTTTTATTTCCTAGTGCATTCCTGAAAATACGGTTTGCACTCATTTAACATTATCATTACTAACTTTAAATGTAGATTGACAGTACAGCAGTATGATCATACTGGGTTGTGTCTTCCAGACACACTTTTATACTTGGAAATACTTTTTTTGCATAAAAGCCCTCTTGGGGTTGACTTTAACAAATAATTGAGGCTCATGCTCTTCTTTTTCAGCCCTGATGCTCTGATGATGTCAGGGGCAGAGCAGAACCCTCAGGAGGGAGGCAGGGTTGGCACAGTGTTCCAGCAGGAGGCTAGGTTGGAACACTGCATCAGGTAAGAGTAAAACTGTACCCCTGCCTCCGTAAGGATACAGTCTTAAAGACTAACTTTCGTGGGTGGGCCTGAAGCTCTTTGTTGGAGTATTTATAGTGAACCAAGTTCAAGAAGGTGCAGTTTATTTACAGATCTAATGCTTCTCAGATTCATGACTGTTAGTTCCCAAAACATTTAGGTAATTTGCTCTTTTTCTACTGCCATGTGTTGTTCTATATATGAAGTAGGAAAGAAGCAATGTATAATTTTACTGGCTTATTCCAGAAATAACTTTTGTATTTTCTAGGACAGTGATTTTTCCAAATTTTTTATAGGAACCTTTATATTCTTTTTTTTTTTTTAGGAGAGCAAGGCAGAGGCTTTTATTTAGAGAGAAAGCAAGAGGACAGAGCTCCTGGCTCAAGCCAGGAGGGGACAAGAGAGTCCCCAGGAACCTTTATATTCTTAAAAATTATTGTGGACCACAAAGAGCCTGTTTATATGGATTGGATCTATCATAGTTACCCTGTTAGAAATTAAAACTGATGAATTTTTAAATACTCATTGCTTTATTTTAAAATAATAACAAACCATTTCCATACTAGCATAGATATTTTTAGGAAAGTTACCATTCTCCAATAAAAAATTAAGAAAAGTGGGGCATTGTATATTTTTGCAAATCTCTTTAGTATCTGGTTTAATAGACGATAGCTAGATTCTCACGTTTGCTTCTGCATTCGGTCTGTTGGATATGTAATTTTATTGGAGGTATATCCGGGATTGGCAAACTAAACCCCAAGAGCCAAATCCATTCTGCTGTCTGTTTTTGTATAACTCACAAGCAAAGCAAAGAATTTTGAAAAAAAAAGAAAGAAAAATAATAAGACACATGAAAATTACATGAAATTCAAATTTCAATGTCCATAAATTAAATTTTATTGGAACACAAGCTAAGCGCCTATCTCTATGAATTATTTATGGCTGCTTTTGCACTACAACAGCAGAGTTGAACAGTTGAAACAGAGACCATACAGCCGGCCTGCAAAGCTTAAAATATTTATAGTCTGGTCCTTTGTAGGAAAAGGTTGCCAATCCCTAGTATGTGAAGAAAATCTGGCCTCACATAGTAAAAGGAAGACTATTTCAAATAACTGTGGGTCTTTGGTACTACACCACAACTCAGCAAATGTTAATATCCTGAATTGAAGCCATTTCAATGCATTGTTATACTGTTACATTAAAAATCCACAGGTCTGTCTTGCACTTTGAATGAATCTTTTACCTATGCATGGTTCTGTGACATAATTCATTGATTGATTGTAAAATATCAGTTCATTGAGTTGTACAGATCTTTGAAGTGTTGGGGCATTTTATTGTAAATATCGAAACGTATCAAAGACTGTCTTATCAAAGAAGTCTAAGTAATGGGAAACTCTTGAGCTTATGGACATGGATACACATTTTCCAGAATTCTAATTTTTGCTTCAATAACTTTGTTATTAGTAACAAATACTAAAGATGGTTTTCCTTGAAGTGACAGGTTCACTTAACACATTTTTGAGAAGATGCCTAGTACTCATCTGAATTACTGTAATTTATGAGCTGTGACTTCAAGAAAAATGATGTGCAATGAAAAAAAATGGCCTGTTCAGCTGACAGCTAAGTCACTGAATTACTTTTCATTGAGACAACCATTGTGTATACTGATATGGAGCAGAAGTGCTTAATACATATTTCCATTTTTGCCACGTAGAGTATTAGAAAAAAATGTGTTTTCAGGGTGGAGATTTAATAAAAATTATTTTCACTGCTTAATTGTGAACATTGTTTATTGAAATTGCCATGCATATATATTTTAACTGGTTTGCCTAGGTGTGAAGAATACAATGGTTAATAATGTATTTTGAGGCCACTGCCTTGATTCTTGCTGATAAGCCAGGAGTTTTACCCACTGCTGCTTTTGCACCATCAGTGCAAATGCCAGCACAGGAAAAAAAGCATTAGTATTATCACAAAAATAATTTTTACTTTTCAGACCCCTTAAAAGAGTCTTGAGGAGTCCCAGGAGTCCATGGAGTCCATGGTTCACAGTTTGAGAATTGCTGCTCTGGGAAAATAACTGTATTGGAACAGTTATGAAGTATAATTATTTGGGTGAATAATGTTTCAAGCTATTAGCCTTGAGAGGCTGGACTCACTGCATCCTTGTACCAGTGAATCAGAGAGGTTCCCAGAATCCCAAATCATAACTGCTCTGAGGTGGGGGAAGGGCACAGTATGACCCTAGATTTGTCAGTAGAAGACTGACATAAAAGCTGAGGTCTAGAAAGCCAAACCAGAGCCCCAGTTTGCCCTAAAATGACCTTTCAAACCTTATAATATATAATCTGACTTTAAATAGGTTCTTTTGAAAATTGATCATCCTATAGCTAATACTATTTTAATTCTGTTCGTTTTTCTTCTTTTAAATACCTGCTTTGGGAGAACTCTTAAAGACATTTCTTCATTCACTATCCTCCTGACAGAGTTTAACTTCCAGTTGACTTTCAAATTTATAGCCGTTATCCTCCTTTCCGTAACTTCCTCTCTCTTTGTTATCACAGTAAAAGAAGTCCATAATTTTGTTCACACTGAAAACCACAGGCAATCTCCATGAGAAATTTGCTGCTACTATTTTTTGTAAATAACTGTTTCATTAGTTTTGAGTTAAAGTCTTCATAGAACATTATCTAAAGCATTTCTGTCTCTTACTGGTTCTGTACCACTGACACATTTATTGAGAAAGGGATAAGATTAAGAAAAATAGCAACTATTCCTGATCTTAGAAAACAAAAATTTCTAACATATGCTGAACTGCAAGTTAGAATGTGCAGTGTAATATGACTATAAAGAAATAATGTCAAGATAAGTAGAAGAGAAGTACCGAGGTAGATGTATAAAGAAACAGGTGAAGAGAGACATGAAGAGAAACAGAATTTTTTCAAAATAACAATTTCGTTCCAGGAAAATAACAGTAAAGGATAATGAATTGAAATGAAAAATATAAAAAGCAGCTTATTCAATAAATATTCAACTGCCTAGCATGTATTAGATCCTAAATTAGGTATTAAAATGTGAACAATTTGCTTATGAATAGGTTGAAAGCTTAAAACATATTTTTAAGTTAAGGTACAGCTGTCTATTTAGGAATTTGTACTGCAGTGCTAACATTCAATGGCAAATGTCTTTCTGATGGAGAAACTCAGGTGCTGTCTTTCTCAACTTGCCCATGGTCCAACTGGGATAGTAACAGATACTAGAATCATGTTTTTGATATAGGTTCTAAACAGAATAGGTACTTCCATTAATTTGATAATTAATGTGATTTTCAGACAGAGTGTATTCAAGGCCGTGTAACACTTGCGAAGATTGGAATGAGAATTTAGTTACCACTGAAATTCCTTGTTCTTAAATTATGATTTAAGGGAGTTCAAAGCTTAACTCAGTAAAAGTAGAATATGCTACCACGAAACTTTTAAAATCACTTGAAATGTTGTCATGGATTTGCAGCTATCTCGGTTAAGTCTGTAAGTGCCATGGAGCCTAATAATGAATTTGTTTTATGGGCACATTGATTCTGTTTTTTGCCCATGCCTGGGACTTTTCCTCTCCTTTTGCTGGCTGCCTTGCAAATATGTGCTGCCTTTTGGTAACAAGGGAGACTGGTAGAGAAAATGTGAGTGAATTAGTTATAAATTAGTAGTTCCCAAAGTATATCCCAAGGGAATACTGAGGGGTTTTATTTGATTAAAAAGGCTTGTTTTCCTGGAAAAACTGATTTAAATAAAGATTATTCGCTCTAGGACATTACAAGTCTTTGATATGGAAATGTGTATGGGGATGCTCCAACAGGGGGTTATAGTATTCCCAAATTTATTTGAACAGAAAACCTAATTTTATTAAGCACCTTACTGATTACTATTCCATGAAATACACTTTGGGAACTGGTACAAATCCAACCCTCTTATCAGAAAATGATTCAAAGCATGTGCCTTATTGCATTTTTATGTGTAACACTCTTTTTTCCATTTATTCCTAACTAGATTTTATTTTCATGGAAAGACAATAAGTGGAAGGAAAAAGTATTGCCTGATTGTAGGGAAGGAAATTCAGATTATAAATTACTTCTTAATGAAAATCTATTAGGTTTTTTTAAAAATAAATATTCCTAAACTAAAATACATTGTTTATAGAGCATTTTCTCTATTTTTAAATTGCAGATGTTGGGGATCAGCCAGGTGAGGTAGGTTATTCAGGCTCTCCTGCAGAAGCGCCTCCGAGCAAGTCACCATCAATGCCGTCATTAAACCAGACTTGGCCTGAGCTGAACCAGAGCAGTGAGGTTAGCAAAGCTTTCCTTTTCTTTCATTAACATTAACATTTTTAAGGTAAGAAGTTTCAAAACTTGGTAAATTCAGTATATATGTAATTTCAGTTATTACATATATTTCAGCATACATGCATAGTTGAAAGGACATATCATTTATGACTGTGATAAATGTATCACGTGACTCTTCGAGGTTTTAACGTACTTATTGATTTGGTTTCCAACACTCATTCTTACTAAAACCCTGCGAATTAGACAGGGTAGACACATAAAGTTAATAATGAAAGGGGTGAATGTCTGGGCCAACGTATCTCATAGCCAGTGAGGGACAAGAGCTAAGATTTGAACACAGATGCTTTGACATTCTGGATTTCTGCTACCACATTCACTGTGTCATGCTGCCTTCTGATTCCTGTAAGCAAGGTACATACTAATATATTTGGAATCTTAGCATTGGAAGTGATGTGAGAAGTAACTAGTCCAGCTTTCCGAATGAAAAAAGTATTTTCTACAACCCAAGCTCTTTATAACAATTAAGTTTCATTCAATACAACATGGAATGATTTAACCCTATTAAATACAGTGGATAAAGATAGTGTCATAGAAGACCAAGCACAGCATGCAAAATAGAATATGAGGCAAATGCACCATCCCTCCCATTACTTTGGAACAATAAAAGTAGGGCCACTCTGCTTAGAATAAGGGAAGAGGGCCTGAGGCTCTGCAACGCTGCAGCACCACGAGGCCCTTCTGTTAGACCTTAGTGCTCTGGAGAACTCCAGTTGAAAAGCACTGGCCTAGCCTGTTAGAGCAGTTCCTGGTGAACAAGTTACATTTTTTTCTTAGTTTTTTATATAGCTTTTAGGTAGTGCTACAAATATAAAAAAGTTACTGACTTTCAGGAAAAAAATCTAAGCAGCTCTGCTTTCCATGTCTTTTAAAGCCAGAAATAATGAATTAAAGAGATACTAGTTAATTTGGGGCAGTTGAAAACCAGAGAAGTAACCGGCAAGCTTAAAGTACTTGCTGCTGCTTTATGACGTAATCACAGATACCTGTGTCTGAGACTTAATATACCACAAGTTGTACTGTTGGATGTAAAACCATTCATATTAGTGTTTTTCTAGAGAGAGGAATTAAGCCTAGAAAGAATTTACTAGTAGAGGGGCTTTAAAGAGAGTAGGATCATTGTTCCTAAAACCACTGATTATGCTGCATTTATTCATTTCTGTCTTTTTTTAAGAGCAATATGAGATTAAAAGTATTTTTTCTTTCTAAAGCATCTCAATTCTATAGTCCATCTTTCATTCTAAGTAAAATCCTGTGTGATCATTGAAGGCTAGGAATGGAAGTCCCTTCCAAATTCTGATTTCAGTAGTTGCATTTTCCCTTCGTAAATATTCCTAGCAATTTTCATTTTATAGTTTTTGATAATAAGGTACTGAATGTCTTTTTTTTTTTTTTTTACTACATGTGGAAAGTCAAAATGTTAATACAACTAACAGTGATTTTTGAGACATTTTAATAGTACTTATAAAAAAATACATACTTAGGATATGGCATTTAAGTTCCATTTTGATTTTCTACCACAAAGCACTAATATTTCTTTGAGCAAATACTTATTCAGCACCTGCAACTATGAATGCTATGAATGAGGTACTGTAGGGGATAACACTATTAATAATAATAACACTAATAATAATCCCTAACATTTACTGAGCACTTCTGACGTGCCAGTTCTAGTTAGAAAGTGCTTTACATATATTAACTACTTACTTCCTCAAAACAATCCTATGACGTAGGTATCATTAATCTCATGTTACAGGTGGTGAAACTGAAGCACAGAGAGGTTAAATAACTTGCCTAAGGTTGTAGAGCATAACTAGGATTCAAGTAGTCTGGTTCCAGAGCCTGTGCTCTTACCTATTCGTTATAGAGATAAGATTGTCTTTCTGCTCTCCAGGTAGCTTACATAGAATTATGTAAAACCAACTAAGATTTCATGCCACCAAACAGGTGAATGCCTTCTTTTTGGCAAAAATCTTCTGCATCTTAACTTTTCTCCACTGTTAGATAATTAGGATTTTTAAAAGTCCTTCTTTGCAACAATAATTACAGAAGAAATTAATTATATTGGTAAGTCACTTTCCTAAGTGATGTCCCATGATAATAGTGAATTATTGTGGGTTTTCTTTTATTCAAGAAACATTTGCAATGTATTAGTATTTCTTAGCATACCTTAATTTTCATGATTTTAAAACTAATCTGTAGGTAAAGTTGTTGACTGTATTAGCCATTTTTTGTAAGTTAAGTTTCATCGATGCATTTGCTAATATTTAATTTCTACATGTCTTCTCAAATTAATATCAAGGTTTTAAATAGTTGAACTTTGAAGCATAAAAATGTATACTCTTTCATACTGAATTATAAAAAGGATTTTGGTTAATGAGGTAGATGTGTCTGTGTGTAAACATTTTGTGTGTATATATTGTATATGTGTGGATGTTTCTCCCTCTTCAGAGGATAACTGATAATGTTTAAGAGCCAAATTTTAGGCACAGTGTTAATAAAATTTTGATATAAAAATCCTATACTATTATGAAGTATTCAAAATAAATTGAATTTACTAAAATTGATTTACCATTCTACCTATTTTAAGAGGTATATTGATATTTGTGTACCTCTTTGAGAAGAGTAGTGTTTCATATCAAAATACATCTTCTATATATAACACATACTCAGGTGCTTTATTTGCTCTCATTGTGGCCGCATTCTGATTTTTCTAGCATGGGGTCGGGGATGGGTGCCTGATTGGCAATTCTGTCTTGTGATCTGGCATGGCCCTGTTTGTAGTGCTGGTTGCAGGGGTTGACTTGCTACAGATTGACATAAGCTCAAACATATATTAATTCCAGAATTCTTTGCATTTTACAATTATATTAAATTTCTATATGTATGTATAAAATATGTGCACGTACATAATTGAATCATCTTTCAGGGGTCGCACTGGCAAGTCACATTGACTTGCTTTGTTTTGACCAAAATTTTGGGACTCACGATTCATTAACATCACTAGATCAATACAGTACATTACTCTTAGAATTTTAAAAGAAGATTTGAAGGAATTCTTTCCTAGTCAAGACAAAACCCTTTACATTCTTACTTTGTCACCATTTATACCACCTAGACTCTTCCTACATTGTGTTTTGAATTTTAATTCTGTGAGACTTTGAATCTCTTCCATAGAGATTACAATAAATTACTGTTATACATTTGATTGTGAAGCTACTCACATTACAAGGTAACTTAGCATAATAAGCATAAAATGTTATGGAAAAATAGAAATTATGGAATTTTATCAGGGCTATGAAACACAACTTGCAGTGCAACCTCTGAATTACTTTGCTAAATCTTCTCCAGTGATCTTTTACTCCATCTTTCTCATCATGCTGACTTGTCTCTCCTCTGTCTGTTCAGCAGTGGGAGACATTTAGTGAACGCTCTTCAAGCTCACAAACTCTGACCCAATTTGATTCTAACATTGCACCAGCTGATCCTGTAAGTCAATCACTTAGCTTGCTTGTTTGAAATTAATTTTATTAACCCAAATTCCATTCATTATGGTGTTTAGCTGATAACGCATGATTCAGTGGAATGCTTAGAGAGAAATGGTGGCAGGCTTTTCAATTTTTGTGTGCTTAGTTGTGGAAAGAACATTTTTATCATTCTCTATTTAGTTATTTTGGTGAGAAAAACTAAGGTTTTAAATCTGGTACATGTGTCTAAAGTAGCATTCTGTGAAAATCAATTTAGTTGACCTTGTTTTCATTTGCTAATTGTGTTTTATTTTATTGAGCATTTACTGCTTATTTCAGTACAGTGACACTTAAATACTATTTTACTTGTATGCTTACACATCATGTAATATGTACTATGTATGTAAATATGCAATGTCATCTTTTAACAGTCCAGATGATAGTATTTAGACTTAATTTGTTGAGTTCTGTTAAAGAGAATCAAGTTCAACAAAACAATACGGAGTTTTTGCTCAGATTTCTATTGTGCAAAGGAGCCTCTGTCTTGTCTTCCTGTGGTTTACTGTGTTGCTTTGAAAATGCTACAAAGTTCACACCCTGATTTATGTATAAAATATGTGCACGTACATAATTGAATCATCTTTCAGGGGTCGCACTGGCAAGTCACATTGACTTGCTTTGTTTTGACCAAAATTTTGGGACTCACGATTCATTAACATCACTAGATCAATACAGTACATTACTCTTAGAATTTTAAAAGAAGATTTGAAGGAATTCTTTCCTAGTCAAGACAAAACCCTTTACATTCTTACTTTGTCACCATTTATACCACCTAGACTCTTCCTACATTGTGTTTTGAATTTTAATTCTGTGAGACTTTGAATCTCTTCCATAGAGATTACAATAAATTACTGTTATACATTTGATTGTGAAGCTACTCACATTACAAGGTAACTTAGCATAATAAGCATAAAATGTTATGGAAAAATAGAAATTATGGAATTTTATCAGGGCTATGAAACACAACTTGCAGTGCAACCTCTGAATTACTTTGCTAAATCTTCTCCAGTGATCTTTTACTCCATCTTTCTCATCATGCTGACTTGTCTCTCCTCTGTCTGTTCAGCAGTGGGAGACATTTAGTGAACGCTCTTCAAGCTCACAAACTCTGACCCAATTTGATTCTAACATTGCACCAGCTGATCCTGTAAGTCAATCACTTAGCTTGCTTGTTTGAAATTAATTTTATTAACCCAAATTCCATTCATTATGGTGTTTAGCTGATAACGCATGATTCAGTGGAATGCTTAGAGAGAAATGGTGGCAGGCTTTTCAATTTTTGTGTGCTTAGTTGTGGAAAGAACATTTTTATCATTCTCTATTTAGTTATTTTGGTGAGAAAAACTAAGGTTTTAAATCTGGTACATGTGTCTAAAGTAGCATTCTGTGAAAATCAATTTAGTTGACCTTGTTTTCATTTGCTAATTGTGTTTTATTTTATTGAGCATTTACTGCTTATTTCAGTACAGTGACACTTAAATACTATTTTACTTGTATGCTTACACATCATGTAATATGTACTATGTATGTAAATATGCAATGTCATCTTTTAACAGTCCAGATGATAGTATTTAGACTTAATTTGTTGAGTTCTGTTAAAGAGAATCAAGTTCAACAAAACAATACGGAGTTTTTGCTCAGATTTCTATTGTGCAAAGGAGCCTCTGTCTTGTCTTCCTGTGGTTTACTGTGTTGCTTTGAAAATGCTACAAAGTTCACACCCTGATTTAAAAAATAAATTATATCCCTATAGAATTAATTTCATATATACCCACTTGTCCCTCAAGTTACTTGAGAACTTAAAAACCTTAGTCGTTAATCATTATTCTCAATGTTCACTCCTGCTTTTTCTTTTAATGAGAAGGACATGCTAATAATAAGTACCTTTCCAAAAAAAGAGGAAGTAAGTAGGAAGGGAAGAAGAGAGTAAAGGTAGGATTTTAAAAGATGAGTTGAGTGGAAAGATGGAGAAAGTGACCCAAAGTGTTCTAGAATCTTAGATGTTCCTGATCAAATGCAGCCAGCATTTATTAATTAAATGTAAAAATGACTTGTTATGTAATCTGGATTTGGGAGAAGTGGCATTTAAAAATAGTAGTACATCGCCAACATTTGGAATTCATGGATCTTAGGTGTGTTTAATTATTTTAAAGAATTTATATCTATTTGAAATATGGAGGATGCTATTTTGAAATCAAATGGATAATGGATGGAAAAAAGTGTTTTAAGTATCTATTTTATAGTCTATTATTCAAAGGACAGTTAATGTGTAGATTATCTGTGCCTTTTGCTTCTCTATTCTTGCTACTTTGAGGGCATTAATCTTTGGTTTTAATCTATGAAGAATGAAGAAGAAATAAAAAAGGCAACACTTAAAATATTTGCTGTTTATCAACAGCTATAATTCAGGTCTTTTGGGAAGTGACCGGTACTGTGAACTAAAAGAAAGTCTTGCCTTTGCTCTAAGTTTCATGTCTCCATATTATTATTATCTCCTACTTATACAATTTAGTTTTATTAAAAGTACTTAATAAAAGTACTTTATTGGGAAGGAAGGTTTGATGTAGGAATGAAGAAACTCTCTATTCCCTAACTCTTAAGAGAGAGGAAAATAATCATTCATGTATGATTCTTTGTCAGGCCATGAAAGAACCTAGATATTATGTATAAAAACCTAGAACTCAGAAGCAAAACAAATTGACTTTTGCCTAGCAGGAAATACAACAAAATACTTGACTTAATAACAATGATGTTTTTATAACTTCTTGGAAATAATACTCAAATTT